CTATTCTTGTCCACCAACAAGTTAGGGTTTTCTATTTCATGTATTGCTTAAATTATTGATTTGCACCCTTTATACACATATATGTGTGTAGATATATATGTATTTCAATCTTATTTCAGTTTTGCTTGTAGATTTTACACTCAATAATCTCTCGAAAATTGGTATATGAGTTTGTTCTTTGTTTCGTTACCCTCTGTTTGGTTACCTGGAAAACGAAGAAAAAGAAGGGAAACACCAACATTGTCGTCTTACTCACTCAGTTGGAATGCTCACACACCAACTGTTTGATAATTTGCTCCTTCGAACTCTGCACACATCACGCCCAATCCTACCTCAGTTTCACTATTTGTTCTAGTCCATTAGCTGTTAAATGAACTCTTCATAACTCTGCTCAACTTTCGTACCTGACCCAAATGACACTAGTGTTCTTTAGAAAAGGTAGCACCACCTTCACACCGATGGTGAATTCTTGTTCTTTAGAAGCTTCCATTCAGTTTTGCCCTTTTCTCTTTATAGAAGAAAGAATAGTTTTTATGCAATACAGCTATAGTCCTACTCTCTTTCTATTTTCTTGCATTGGAATTGTCAAGTTTGGGTATCTGAAAAGATTAAAAAAAAAAAAAGAAAAAAGAAAAACCAGATTCAGATTCCTTTTTCTTTCAAAATTGTCCTCTCATGTGTTCTTGAAAAGATAGATTACCTTCTCCTTTTTCTTCAACTATAGTAGCCTATAAAAAACAAGTAATCACAAGAAGAGGAATAGGCTCTAGAAAATTCAAGTAGAATGTCTAAGTTTTGACATTTCTGAATTCTTGAGAAATAAATCAGCAGCCTTTTATTCTTGAGAAAAAAATCTGTTTTGATTTTTTATGCAGACAAATCAGCAGCCTTTAATATGTTAAGTTAATTGTGTATTAAGATAACATTTAAACCTGCAGATGGACTTATTTACATATTGATTAACATGAAAGCCTATGTAGTAGAAGATAAGTATGTAGATGGTTGTTCCTATCTCTGTTGTCTATTTAATCCAATGATTAACATTCTATAATTGTTTGTTATTGCCATTATATATAGCATGGCATCTGAACTTAGTGGGAACCTTGAAAGCATCCCCATTCATATTTTGAGAAAGCAAGACTTACAAAATGGTATCCCTTTAATTTTCCAGCTATTGAGCTACTTTTAGAAATGGAGGTTTCAACTATTCTCAAGGAGTAATAATTTCAACTAGAGCAAAAATCAACTTCAGTAAGTTGAGACTAAGGGCTAGTATGCTCTCTAGACAGGATCTCTGTAGCATTGGATTCTTTAATGTGATTATATTATGCTTCAAATTGTATGATCATGTTCCTTCTTTAATGCTGTTTGATGTGATTATATTATGCTTCAAATTGTATATGTAGATATGTAATGAGTTGATTAACTGAGCCCTTGGGTAGCAACTCAATGAGATTACTATACATTAAACAGTGTGCAATAAAGGGACCAAAACTAAGTAACCAGTGTGAAAAACGTATACCAAAACAAGTAATCACAAGAAGAGGAATAGGCTCTAGAAAATTCAAGTAGAATGTCTAAGTTTTGACATTTCTGAATTCTTGAGAAATAAATCAGCAGCCTTTAATTCTTGAGAAAAAAATCTGTTTTGATTTTTTATGCAGACAAATCAGCAGCCTTTAATTCTTAACATTTTAGAAATATGTTGGTATTTTTAATGCAGAAAAAAAAATGGCTTCATCTTCTATTGATAATACGAACTTAAGATTCAAGGCAAGGTTTTGTAATTGTGGAAGAATAGCTTCCGTGCGTACTGTACAAACCAATGCAAATGAAAATCAAGGACGTGTCCATTGTAGACTACGAACGGCCACTGCAATTACTTCAAGTGGTTCGCAGATGATGACGACAACGACGACGACGACATTACCTCATCAATCCGTGCCAATGCTGGACCTCCGACAGATTCAAGAACAGAAGAAATTAATGATCTAAGGAGAAGGGTTCAAAGGATTGAGAGGATTTTCAAGGCAATGACTTATGTCATTGTATTTTGTGTATTTTGGTACTTTATCATGTAAATGACTCAGTTCTTAGGTTTTGAAATTTTTTTTTTGGTGCTTCAAAATCTGATGGTTTGCAAAAACAAGTGTCTAACATTTTTGATTGAGATGAAATGTTGAATGAACAGTTTGTGAAATCTATTACTTCAGGTTGAATGTTGTATAGCAGGTTTCTGAAATGTTGTATAATGTTGAATGTTGAAATGTTGAATAATGTTAAAATGTTGAAATGTTGAAAATGTTGTATAACAGGTTTCTGAAATCTATTGAAAATGTTGAAATGTTGAGTGTTGTATAACAATGTGTATTATATGTGATGGTTTGAAAAAAACAGGTATATTGATTAACAAGTTGAACATGAGCTATTCAAATGTGTTCAATGAACAAGTTTGTGTGGGAGGTTCTATGTGAATAAGTGTCATGCAGAATGGGTATCTATAGAAGATATGATTCTCATTTCGTGGTTCTGTTTTTATATTAGCTACTTGCATAGATCATTGCGCAAAACAACCATTAAATCACCCAAAAAAGCAAATACAAACCAAATGTAACCTACAAGACTTGACAACATACTGCATATATGATTCCAATGCAAAATTATGATGCTGATAACATAATAAAATGAACAAATGAGTTCCAGAACAAATCCCCATAGGTCAAATGAACAAATCCCCATACATAATAAAATGAATTCCAGAACACAGAGCAAGGTCCAAAACATAAAGCTATCAACTTTGCTTATATTGAACCCAAATTTCGGCATAAATTCAGCATTATTCTGCAAGAGTGTGCAGCAATTTCAGCATTATTCAGCATTATTCTGCAACATTTCAACATTTCAGCATTTCAAAATTTCAGCAAATAACTTCAGCAACATTTCATCAACTCAAACAGCAACATTTCAGCATTATTCAAGCAACATTTGAACAGAAATTTCAGCAAAATTTAAGTGACAATTGAACCCAAATTTTTAGCAACAATTCAACATTTCAGGGATGGTATCAGCAAATTTTTAGCAACAGTTTAATGAAAGGTTTTGAATAGTACATATCCAACAAAAAATTCACAAAAATTCCCAAAACAAAATAATGCTAAGATGTTGGCGTGTGATCCACATCCCCACGGCCACGGCCACGACCATATAGTACCTACAAAAAAATAATAATAATATTACATCGAAGGAACCATAAAATAAAATGGAACTTTAAATGAATGAACTCTAAATTATGGTCTTTGTTATGTATGACAATGTGGTTTTCATTAAGATGTTCACTACAGCAGGTATTCATTGTTATGACAGTGTGGTTTTCATGAAGCAGATAAATTCACTAGTAAAGCATTAGCTACCTTTCCATATTTCTAACTAGTCATTTTCTATAATTTGAAATCCCATGTTAGCTAACTAAGAGTTCAAAGGAAAATAAGTGCAACAAAACTAAAATTTTGAGCTAAAACATTATATGCCACCTTAATTGCCATGAATTTTAAAGCTAAAAAAGCTAATATGATTGAACTCAGTCAAGTAAATGAGCTGGTATATAACTATCCACAGTCAAGTAAATGAGCTGGTATATGAGCAACTATAGAAATTTTCAAGATTTCGTGAAGTTTACAAAGAACCCAAACAAGTTCAACGATCAATTTCTGTCTAAAGTAAAACCAATGGCCCAATTTATCGAACACTCCAACTGCAACCACAAAACACTTTCCAGAGCAAAACCCAGTCCACCAAACACAATTTTGAGCAAAACCCAGATCACCAAACACTTCTAGAGAAGAACCCAAATCGCTAATCACGTTCACTGAACAGGTTTGCTGCAAGAACCCCAAATCAACAAGCCACGCTTTGAGCAAATATACCAAAACTCCAAAATTTGGCAAGAATGTTGAAAAAGAACTCACTCAAAATTCATGTAGAGACACTCCTAAGGCTAATCCTAATCCTTTTCAATTTAGACAGATCAAGAAACTTCCAGTAATTGCAAAGAAAAAAATAAAATAAAATAAAAATTAATCAAATCAAATTTGCAGATAAACTAAAAAACACTACTCAATAAAATGTAATCAAATCTCACTACAACAAAATGCACATTTGGCGACTAAATTTTTAGTCGCCATATGCTTTGCCTGACTAAATATTTTGGTCACTAAACTAGTCGCGGAAAGCTTGTCGGGGAAGGTATTGGCGACTAAATATTTTTTAGTCGCCAAAAGTCCTATAAATGGCGACTAATATTTTTAGTCGCCTAAAATAAAATTTTAGTGACCAAAAATCTTATTTTCTGCTACTGAAACTTTGGTCGCCAAAACTTGAAGTATCTATGGCGACCAAAGTTTTAGTCGCCAAAGGATTTTTTTCATCTTTTTATTTTTTTATTTTTTTCATTTTATTTTTTTTAGCTACTAAATTCTTAGTCGCCTAAAGTCTGCTTTTATTTTAGCTACTAAATATTTAGTAGCCAAAAGTTTTTCTCCATTTTATTTTTATTTTTAGCTACCAAATATTTAGTAGCCAAAAGTTTTTCTCCATTTTATTTTTATTTTTAGCTACCAAATATTTAGTAGCCGAAAACCAAATATTTAGTAGCCAAAAGTTTTTTTTCATTTTATAAATAAAATTATCTATATGCTAATAAAATTAGCAACCATTCCACAACACACACATTTCACTTTCAACCATAAAAAAAAATAAAAAAAATAAAAAAAATCATATTTAACATCAAATTAATATTTTCAAAAAAAATTCTATACAAATCAAGTATAATCCAATCTCAAAAATATAATTCCATGGTCAAACCGTGGCCTTTTTTTTTTGTGTGTGTATGTAATTTTCCCTAAAAAATAAATAAATAAAAAAATGAAAGAGAAAGTAGATAAGACATCAATTAAAAAAAAGAGGGGAGAAAGTGGTCCATGCTGAAGGGTCAGCTGAAGGGGTCAAGCGATTGTGGATCCACCACAGTCAGTCTCATTCGCCTCAGTCACCCCTTGATCTACTGAGTTATGATCCTATCCAAATAGTCAACCCCTGATCAGTTTCTAAGTGAAGCTAAAATTAATAGAATCTCAAATTGTCAACTCTATGGTTCATAAAATCCAGCTCAAACATGTCTCACCACATTGCTCATGTTGGGCACTTTCACCAAACCAAGCTGGTTCACAGGTGGCATTCCATTGGCAGGGCGTTGGTCAGTCACTACCAATGCATTAGAAGTTTGATGCAATGACCGCAACTTAGTAGCACTTTGCTCCGCAGTATCAGCTTTAGTATCTTCAGCTTTTCTAATCAATGCAGACTAAATACAAAAGAAAATACTGTTATCAGTGTCATAAACAGTATCATACATGTATATACATATGTGCACATATATAGATATATATTAAAAGAAACTGGGCTAACAATTCTTAAAAGAAATTGGGTTGAATCCGATTGTACTCAAATGTTGTAGATCACATACCTGGCGCTCGGGGAATTTAGGCATTTCAGCCAATATATCCACTAAATCTGCACCTTTCCTACTCAATGCAAAATATTCAACAGCTCTTTGCTGTATCTCAACATCAATACAACTCTCATATCTGGAAAGAAAGAAGGGCAAGACAGTGTAAAAGAATTTCAAGGCATTTTGTGAGAAAGCATGAACCACAAGCTCCAAAGAAATGAAAGGAAAAAATTACAATCCAGAATGGGTTAAAACTCACTTGTGAAAAATTGCCCAAATTTGATTCTGTAATTCTGGGTCTGGAGGTTGATTGTGCATTAAAATCTTAGCATATGTTGAAAGAAGAATGGAAATCGTAGAAGTCCTGATGATGCATAATGTCCATTAAGTTACTTAAATGATGAACAACAAATATTACCAAGAAAGCAGAAGTTCAAGTGCCCTTCCGAAATAGTAGAAAGCTTCGCATGTATGATGCTAAAAATCTCCTTTGGACTACACCCAGGCCATCTGGCCAGAAGGTGACTGTATTCTCCAAGGATATAAGCACTGACCTGCTCCCAAAAAACCCAATGCCCAAATACAATTATGCCTTGCAATTGATTTGATCCAAAAAAAGTTCCTCGATAATTAATCTTGGGATGCGTAATTAAATTATGAAATGGTTTTTACTTATCCAAAAAAAATAAATAAATAACTTGATTAATTAAATAAAAAATTATGAAATGGTTAGGAACTTGGTAATTAATCTATCAAAGAGAGGACACAATATTAAACATTAGAAGGTAGTTCAGAGCTGGCAAAATCCAAAATATGCCCATTCTGTAAAAAATAAAAATACCACACTTTGTATAAGCCTAATACAAAAAGCCACAGATTCCAAGTCCAACAAAGTCCTTATTCTTCATGTCAACAACATGCAATATCAATAAAATGCATTTACTGCTAAACTAAAAGTGTGTACCACAACAATGTGGGGTTGTATCAGCACCAAAGGGTCAAACTAAACATTAGCTCTAATGTTTGAGTTACTAACACCTAAAATATATTCTTTTTCACATTTTATGAGAAAATGTAAATGAATCATGGGAAAAATATACACAGCTTTATGAATCATAAAAACAATATATGTAAGGCAAATATACACAGCTTTATGGGCAAAAATATACACACCTTGACCATTGTCTCGTGTACAGTAGGCTTATCAAGATATTCCATGGCTTTTACTGCTACATAAAGCTAATGAAATATAAAAAGTGTAAGGCAAATAGTGAATGAATGAATTTCATAAAAAGACAAGACAAATAATGAAGCATATGCAAGAAAAGTTTTAGTCACCTGTAGGTCTTCATTGTTCGTAACAAATTGCACAACACGAAACCAAATGTCATCACTGACAAAATCGCCTGCTTTGTCAATCAACTGAAGGATCACATCCACATACCTGCACAATGATTAGAAAAGAATGATAGCATAAGTAGCATATACAATAACAAAAGGATGTCCCTTCAATAATGGACACTATAAATAAATAAATAAATAAACATTTTGCAATATCTGATCAAATAAATACTCAGAAAGCTCAAGAAGAATTATTCGAATCAAATATTTTACAGCTGTATGATCAATAAAAAATTGGATATACAAAATTGTAGAGCAACAGTTTTTTAAGTATTTAAATTTTGTGTTTCATTTATAACCAAATAGTATGATATATAAATTATCAATAAGGTTGGTTGTGTAAACCTTACAGCCCTCATCCCAGGTCATTTGGATACTTGGAAAGATTCACGATTAGTGGAACTAGTTTTAGTAATGGAAGTATAAATTGATAGGATCCATCAGTATTATTTCTTTGCTACCAATAACATACAGATCAAAAAGAATAGCAGGACAACGAAATATCACAAACAAGTATTTGATTTTCGATAGCTTATTGACCTCATATGCAAGGCCAGGAATCAAACTATTCCATTGAACAAGTATCCTTGCTTTTTTTAAAATCAGAACAATTCCACTGAATTCAAAAAACTTTTTGGCTTTTTTACCTATTTCCAATAAACATTTTGTTAGCATTTGCATATAAACTATGGTTGTCTGCATAGAGCCTTCAACTTGTGCAATTCAGATCGAGATGGTCAAAAAAGACTCATTTAGCTGACTCATTTAGCTGACTTATGTTCAATCTAAATCCTTAGTGTGTATTATGTTTACATGAACATTCTCTATAGGTTCTTCTAAAAGCAATACATTTTCTTCATTTGACCCAAACATGCTACAATATAACCTATTGAAAAGCAAAGAACATCAACTACACTTTCAACCATTGTGCACCCAGAAACATAGTGACTCATGTGCTTTCCATTAAGGGTTATAGTTCCTTAAGGCATCTACAAAACAACTATCCTCCAACAAACAATGGCAACCCCCAGAACATAACATATACACACAGAAATTGAACTGTTTCCACATTAAACCCAATTGCTGCATCAAATATATACACACAGAAATTAATCCACAAGTTCCAAAATAAGAAAATATGACACTTTAGAGTGAAGTATCAAACTTTCCACTTCTGAAAAAAAAAATGCAGTAAATCAGCACTATAATTTTTAAATTAAAAATTTTATCAATTTGTAAATCATGAATCCGATGGTCTCCAATCCCCTGATCTTCTTGGCAAACAAAGAAAGATTATGCAAACAAAAAAGAAACCAAGAAAGAGTACCAACTTGGAATTGTGGAGACAACTTCACCCATCTGAAGCCGATCTGCACAAAAAAATGAAATCGAGTTACTCAATTATCAAAATTAGGGAGAACCTAGTTGACAGAAATGCAAGATCAGAAAAGGATAAGGGCAAAATCAAAGAATCATACAGAGAATTGTGGTTTTCCAGCATTTTCAGGACCAAGAACGAGTTTGTTACCAAAAAGCGAAGAGAATAATCGAGTAAACACAATCCCCATTTTCAATCTCCCTTATATGGAGAATCAAAAGGACCAATCAGATCTTTAAGATCCCCACAAGAAGCCTCTGAATATTTTGAGAGAGAGAAAGAGAGAGAGAGAGAGAGAGAGAGAAAGCATACGCGAGACGGAGCATCAATGGAGCAGAGTTCATCTCAATGATGAAGCCTTTGGATCTCGTGGCAGTGGATCTGTGAAGATCGGCGGAGGAGGAGGAGGCGGCGGCGTGAAAAGATCGGCGGTACTAACGATGACGATGGCGATGGCGATGGCGAAGGAGGAGGAGGTGCTCCGGTTTCCGTCGAAGGCGAAGAAGAGCGGCAGTGAGAGAGGGAGGGGAGAGGAGTAGCGGAGACGGGAAGGGAGAGGGAGAGGGACGCCGAAAATAGAGAGAGAGAGAGAGAGAGAGAGAGAGAGAGAGAAAAGGCAGATCATTTTAGGGTTTGGTTTGGTACAAAATACATATCGATATATATATATATATATATCATTTTATACAATTGACGACTAAAATACCAGTGGTCGCCAATTATATATATGTTACACCATTAGCGACTAAAAACTTTAGTCGCCAATCACTTTTATAAATTCCTCAAATTTAAATTATAAATGTCTCCCTCCAATTTTTTATTTTTTGGCGACTAAACTACGTTTTGGTCGCTAAAAATATGTTTTGGCGACTAAACTTTTGGTCGCCAAAGATAATTTTTTTTTTTTAATTTTACATTTGGTGACTAAATATTTTAGTAGCCAATACCTAGTATACGGCAACTAAACTAATTTTTGGTCACTGAAAATATGTTTTGGCGACTAAACTTTTCGTCGCCGAAAGATAAAAAATAAATTTTTAATTTTACATTCGGCGACTAAATATTTTAGTAGCCAAAACTCAATATACGGCAACTAAAATTTTTTTTTGTTGCCAATTCTAGTATTTTTAGCGACTAAATTATTTTTTTGTCGCCAATAATTAATATATCCCGACTAAAATAATTTAGTAGCTAAATTTTATACTTTTCGCAACCAAAAAAAAGTTTTAGTCGCCAATCCCAAAACTTTTGGTGACTAAATTTGTTTTAGTCGCCAAAGATGTATTTTGTTGTAGTGTCTGGAAGATTCCCTACTAGGTAACTCCCATTGGAATGAGAAGACAGGATCAGAACAAGACATATAGACAATGAATCCATAGACATATATACATATATACATACATACATACATAGATTGATGGAAAGAGAAGATCTTTGTACCTGTTCTATTCTATGGAGTTCAACCGGATGCACGACGATGGCGACAGCAAGGCGACTACGACGGTGGGGCGACGGGATGCACAACGGAGCAGCCTCTCTAACTCTTCTTCCCTCTCTCCTTCTTTCGCGGCTCTGCTTCTTCCCGCTCGTCTGATATATCTCTTCAGCCTGGGGGGAATTTTGAAATCGGAAAAAAAAAAAAAAAAAAATTGAAAATACTCACCAAAACAACGTCGTTTTGGTGAGGCTTAAGTAGAGCCGTCCGATCATCCACTTTAGGAGATCACTCTAGAGAGTTACTCTAGAGGATCCGCACATACTGAGTGATGACACATAATTTATTTAAATAAAATTTCAGTCATTACTACATTACTCAGATGGGATGTGGAAGTGAAGGTGCAACAACTTTTTTTTCTTTTGGGGTCACAATTTGTAGGATTTTATTGTTTAATAAACCAATGACACTTTATTAGGGAGTATTTGGCATGAATTTATTATCTTGAATTAAGATACATATGTTAACTCATTAAAATCAACTTTGTTGCAAAACTTACCTGCGAAAGTTTGGAACTTGCCGGCAGTAACTTTTTGGGTGCAGCTTGTCACCAGTCCGACTAGACTGGACAGTGCTATTGGGCTCATGAGGATCCACCACGGGTCCCGTTTTAATAATCTGAACCGTTGGATGTGTAGAACTCGTCGAATACTATAGTCCTGTAAAAAAATCACATTGATTGGATATCAATAACCATGTGATCAAACTAGTTTTGTATTAAAAAAAAATGGATGGTGAACAAATTAACAGTTGACAAAAAACTGATACGATGAGATAGCTATCGCTATCTGATCAACGTGATTTTTTACAGGCAGTTCTATATAACTCATTAGTCGAACGATTTGTAAAATGAATGAATACTTTTTACACTACAAGAAAAAACACTATTGGTGACTAAAAAATCACATTTCGTCGCTGAAAGTATAGCATTTGGCAACTAAAAATGCATTAGTAGCCAAAAGCAAAGATTTTTGGCGACTTAAAAAATTTAGTAGCCAAAAGTATAGGTTTTGGCAACTAAAAATCTATTTGGTCACCGATATATGGCTTTTAGCGACTAAAAAAATTTTAGTAGCCAAAAGTAAGGCCTTTTGGCGACTAAAAAAAATTTAGTAGCCAAAAGTGAGGCATTTGGCGAGTAAAAATTTGTTTGGTCGCCAAAAGCGAGGCTTTTACCGACTAAAAAAATTTTTGTAGCCAAAAGTAAGGCCCTTTGGCGACTAAAAAAAAAATTAGTAGCCAAAAGTGAAGCATTCGGCGACTAACAACATGTTTAGTAGCCGAAAGTGAGGCTTTTTGGCGACTGAAAAGAAGTTTAGTCGCCAAAAGTGGTAATTTTAGCGTGGGAAATTTGTTTTTAACGACTAAAAAATAATTAGTAGCCAAAAGTATAGAATTGGTGACTAAAATTATGTTTAGTCGCCAAAAGTGGTGTCCTTTTTTTTCTACCAAATAATTTATTTTTACATAAATTATGTTCAATAAAAAATAATTATGTTTATATATATACTTTGATATTAATACGGGTCTAAGTACTATATAAATAATATATGTTGCATATATAATCATATGATGTTATGGAGGCGTAGTGGAAGGAGTGTGTTGTATAAAGGTTTATGGTGTGGGAGGTTGATGGTTTGAATCTCTATAAGAGTAAGGTGTAATTTTTTTTTTCCGGAATGAGCTTTTGGCGACTAAATCTGTTTGGTCGTCGATTCCTTGACTTATTGGCGATTAAAACATTAGTCGGTAAATGTATAATTTAAAAAAATATAATTGACTATTGGCGACTAAAAATTTAGTCGCCAAATGTATAATTTAAAAAATATAATTAACTATTGGCGAACAAGGTTTTAGTCGCTAAAGACTTGCATTTTGGTGACTAAAAGTTTTTTAGTCGCCAATACCTATCCCGACCGTTTAGCAGCGACCAAACCGGCGATTAAAAAATTTAGTCGGAGAAACTTAAAAACTGACTTTTGGCGACTAAAAATTTAGTCGCCAAATGTGTTTTTTCTTGTAGTGTTATATGTATATATATAAAAAAGATTTGTTCTTAGAATTTTAGTTATGACTTACGAGTTTTTTAATTATGTTTGTATATTTGTTCTAAGCACGTTTGTATATTTTTACTAAGATTTCGGTTATTTCGATGTAAAATATTTTACATAAAAAATATTTTTCTTATAAATTGGTTTTATACAGAATTTTTTTTTTTTGTTTTTGTTTTTTAGGGTTTGGTTGACACTTGAAATAAAAACATTTTATTGCCTAAAAGTGAAATTTTGATTAAATAAAGTGTCATTTATGACTTTATAGTGAACTACCATATTTAGGTTCTATTTGCTTTGACGTAAAATGTTTTTGTCAAATATATTTTACTCATTTTTCGCTGTTTGGTTAAACAAAAAGTATGTAAAAAAAAATTTAATGAAAATATTTTTGCATCATTTTTTCAAAAATAACTTACCTTTAAAATTCCGTAA